CCTGCCATATTTCAAGTTTTGTGAAGGTATAGCATTTATACTCTCTGGGATTTTATAATTAATCGGTGAGGTAATTTAAAAGGATATAAGTCTTATACCTACATAATAAAAGTATTTTTCTAAAGAAATATTCACACAAAAGTAAATCAGGATAATTCTGCGAATACTCAAAGTCAATATTCATCAAACATATTATAATTTTAGTTTTTGCATAACTTTAGTCGTACGTAATAATTTGGCACTGTTACATAAATACATAAAGTTACAATTTTGTAATAAGGAAGTAAATGATTAAGAAAGTATAAAATAACGCTTGAGTCTAATAATTTAGTTTTTTAATTAGTGATATATATCGTTCGTCCCTAGGTACGTTTTGACAGTTATTATGGAATAGATAGACTCTATATTATTTGATAATATAGAGTCAATAAACGGGCTATCTAATGCAAAAAGAATTTTTCAACTCGGATTAGTAGTTCCTGAGATTAACAACAAACAAACAAACTCTCTTTATAATATTAGTGTAGATTATCCATTACAAGTTTTATATGATAGAGTTACTTTCTTAAACCTATGTGTAAACAGTTAATTTCATATGCAAGACTCGCTGTGTCCAGTCGCTTTATGGCGTTAAACATACTGTGTTATGTGAATAGTAAGTGGTTGCGTAGATTATGACATGTTGCAATTTTATTATCATTATATCATTAGAAAAAGGAAGAGACGAGTTATTAGGCTATAGTTTTTGTATTCATGTTACGTGATATGCTATATCATGAGAGCACTTAACCACGAATCAACGGCTATAACCTATGTACACAATGTGAATTTAGGTAAAATACTTTAAGACCTTAGGCAGTTATTGAGGCGTTTAAAAATCACTTAAATGTAATCACTTATCACCATGTCCCCGTTTTGTAACGACATGAATGTTGTACTAGCGTACGTAGAATGTGAATTCTATTATATAATAATAATTAAAATCAATGAACATCAGTCATCAAATCAAAATAAATCAATTGGTAGTCTATACATATAATAAAATTCTAACTAAGTCAAATCTGTACATTAAATATTTTTTTGGAAATCTAATTGAAATAGACATTATTATCGATACAGATTCTGAATCTATAGTTTTTAAAATTTTTGTCTGTCTGTCTTTCTGTCAGTCTGTCTGTTACCGCATCACGAGAAAACCACTGGATAGATTTTGATGAAATTTGGTATGATGATAGCTGGTTATCCGGGTCAACATATAGGCTACTTTTACCGCGGGAAAATATCTCATTTCTGAGAAAAAATACAAAAACACAAAAACTGCATTGTAAGAGTATACTAACATGTAAAACCTAAGAATTTGGTTTTTGGTCATCTGAACGCGGGCGGAGCCGCGGGCAATGCTAGTTTAAAATAAGAATATTATAATATGTAGTTTATAATAAGGATATTATAGATATAGCCACAATAAATGTCGACAATTTTAGTCAAAAAATCATTTTTGCTTACAAGTTTTTGAACCAAAATTTAATTATGGTTATAACTATAATTAAATTTTGTATAAAACTTAGGGTTTTATTATAACGATATTAGATTAGATAAGATTATCGAAAATCGTTAATCTTTTAATATTAACTTAGTTAAACTTGCCTAAACTTGGACAAATATCTATAAGGAAAATACGTGTTTAATTTGTACCACTCAGTTTAGATTTGAATATATAGCAGGTCGAACAACGTAATTAAATTTAACTGACATTCCTTGTGTTTTGTCCAGGTGGTTTTGTATAAAACGCAATATTGCCATTTTATTGAATGATGAATGTGGATGAAAATTAATAAATATGTGATTAAAACTAATAATTTCTTCAAAAATATTATAATCTTTTCCAAGAAATGATAAAGTTTATTTTTTAAATATGTGCAAAAGAAAATCTTATCTAATTAATATTATATAAGGAGCATATGTTCGTAATCGTCAGGACAATTTTTGTATAAAAGTTTTTTTTGAAAAATCCACCGGAAAAGTCGGAAATTTGGATAATATTTTTGAATGAAAATTTCAATAGGTACTATAGAGTGTGACGTTCAGTTTGGCAGTCACATGTTTTCATATTAACAAAAAACATTGAATATTTTAATAGTCTACGTGACATTGGCGAAGTAATCTGTGCTAAACTGGCACGCTTTGAAGCCATTTCGACGATGATTTTATTGGAATTACTAGGTCCCGCCTTCAAAACTACCAAAAAATAATCTTTTCATGTCTATACATTTGAATATATTTTGTTGGCCAAAACAAATTTGAAATATATTTTTTTGTAATTTTTTCTCGTCATAAACAAATTCCGGACTCGCCCACCGAGGGTTCCGTACAAAAGTATAGCCGGAGAAGTATAGCGAACCGTCCCCCTAATGACAACCTATATCGAAACTCATGTGTCAATAAGGGCTTGATGTAGAAAAGCGATTCATATGAGTTTCACCGCCGTACTTCGCTTTGACCTTGAGATATAAAGAAAAATGAGCGTAACTATGAGTTTCTTTCAAAAGGGCACATCTCGGAAACCTTCAAAGCTAGAAACTTAAAACTAACGCGAAGATTTAGGTAACCTTTGAGAGCATATTATATTTTTTTTTAGATTTTTAAACTTAAAATAAAATAATTATTATGTCAGTGTTCGTTGAGACTTACAATCACAAAAAAATATATGTTATAGTATTTAATATACACTAGTACTCATAAAAATGGTTTGAAAAAAACTGGTGCAACATTTCGAAAAAAAAAACTCGACGCGCACTAAATATATCAAAAAATAAAAACGTCACAAAGAAACATATAATGCGTATATTAACACTTTATTAATTATAATCATAATAATCATAAAAAGATAAAGAAAATACCATGCATTTATTTTATAATATATTTTTAATAATTTTTTTATGAAAACTAATATTAAACAATTTTAATCACCGTCGCTGTTATTAATTACATGTGTAATATTTTGAGTCTCAAATATATTTGTTAGTACCCTAGCAAGACGTACAATTCTAGTTGTGATCGTGGAGAGTGATCTTATAAGGGTTCCTTTTTTACCTTTTGAGATACGGAACCCTAAAAACCATTAAATTCGGAGGATTTCATACCGTCAAATACATATTTGATTGTTTTTATTTATTACTTCGAAAAAATATAATTGTGTTACGACAATATTTATTGAACACTCTAGAGCCTAGGTTATAGTTCTGTATAAATAATCATTGACATTTTTGAATTAAAGATAACTCGACGACTCATTGTGTTTCCCGTGGGAATGAGAGATTTTTCTATAGTAAAAGGTATTCTAGTTGTCACTCCACAATGTTTAGTTAAAATATGTTGAATGCGTATTGCATCTAAAGCGAATAGATAAACGGACAAACAGACAAATAGACAAAAGTTTCAATCAATGCTTTTGGGTTCTATATTCTGTACACAATACGTAAGTCATTGTTAAAAAAATATATTTCATGTATAGATTTCGCTTCCTTATTATTTTATTATATACATACATATATGTACATAGATATTTATCTAAGATGTCAACAGTATTTATTCAAAGTTTGATTTTTGTACCACACTTGGTTCCTGTCTAAATAACATATTATAAAACTTTATATGAAAAGAAAAAGAGTTTATGCGTAAGTCTAATAGAAAAATTCGGACCAACAATTATAAACAACTTTGAATTAAATCTGCATTGAGTTTTAAGAAATATAAAAATTATAGAATCCGAAATGGTACTTCTATAATTACATATATCCGTCCATACTACTAGTATAGTATTATATGATCTGTGATACTACATATTATGTCTTGCCTATGGATAAAACATTATTTATTACTTCCCCACCCTAAGTGGGTTCACCCATTCTTTATAACTTGAAATCTTACTTGCTTGGACTTAATTATAATTCTAAACACCAAAAATATTGATTTTTATGTTTGAAAATAATATGTTTTTCAAGAAATATTTTCTTAGCATTTCCCTACATTGTTATAGAAACACTTTTATGAAATTCAGCACTTCAGGTCCTGCAAACCCCAACATATTTCAGAATTATATGAAAACCGTTGCTGCAAACCCTTAGCGAGTCCTAATATTTTACTAGTAAGCTTGGCAGTTTAATAATAATTATTAATATATATGGAACATATGTAAGTGGTCGTCTTACGTACAATAATGTGATTGTTTTACAAAAATTAAAATTTATACTGCTAGCAGCTTGTACATCATAACTACATACTTGTGCAATATAAAACTGGTTAGTATAGATTACGTGTTGAATGCTTACAGAATTATTTTAAATTAATCTGAGTATTCTTCAAGTTGCAGTGGTCGTTATTTTTTATTTATTTGCTTGTCTCTATTAATTTTACAACAACTTTAACAATTCAATCAAATAGGATAACAATCTGAAACTCAATTCAACTTTGTTGAAGCCCGGTGTAGCGCTGGCCAGAAGAGTGTAAATACTTATATGCCTTCGATAATATCAAAGTGGAAGAGAGTAGTGAAAATTTATAAAAAAATGGAGACAGCAAAGTTAAAATAAAAAGGAACCCGTGGATGGGGAAGCATTTAAAGATTTTTTAACTCAAAGATTTGATAACTATTATAGAGCTTATTTTAAATGTCACTTTTATTATTTTTATCTATTCTAATATTATAAAGGGGAAAATTTTGTTTTTTTGTTTGTTTGTATTGAATAGGGTCCGAAACTATTGAACCGATTTAGATGAAATTTGGTAAGAAGATAGTTTGAGACCCTGGGAAGGGCATAGGGTAGTTTTTATCCCGGAAATCACCCCTTAATGGGGTGAAAATGGGGGTGCAAGTTTGTATGGGGAAGCAACCTAGTTCATAATTTATTATTTCAAATAAAGAATTTATAAAAAAATTAGAAATACCTTTTAATGAATATAATTTTATTATACTAAAATGAAGATTTTGCTTCTTACAGCCAGCTGCACACACATGCATTATAGGCGGCGGATATTCAGGCCTTGCGGCCGCGCGATATTTAAAGGAATTTGGAGTGAACTTCACTGTGTTTGAAGCTGCTAAAACCTACGGTGGTACTTGGCGCTTTGATCCTCATGTGGGAGTGGATGAAGATGGAGTACCTGTGTATACTAGCATGTACAAATATCTTAGGTAAATTATTTTTAGTACCTAGTAAGTGTTCTTTATTTTTACATATGTAAATAGAAAATTATATAGTACTAGCGAATTGCATTCTTTTCAACTTTTTGACAACGGCTTTTCTATTATAGTATTTAAGAACGTTACAAAAATCGAGTGGGGCTGTATCGGGGCACACCGCCGTTGGTTTAACGTGAAACGTTTAGGTATTTCAATGAGTCCCTTTTGCCTTTTAGTGTAAAATTTACTTCGTTCTAATTGTTTTAATACTATAATGACACCGAATCGTAAATGAATATTATAATTAGAAGTTCTTTCGATTAATATTAGACAACATTTTTTTTTTAAATTGATGATTGTGTTTTATATTTTCAGATGGCTATATAGCACGCGCTAAGGTCGACATATTGAATTCTTATATTTTTAAACGCTTCCTGGTCATTATTTCCTATAAATTTCGTCCAAATTACAAGTTTTTTTTTAAAATCGATCGGACAGAATACATTTTATAAACCTATTATAAAATCACAGTGCTATCACGTGTGAGTCGTGAGTTACACCGAATAGAAAGGAGCGAGAACGGCAATTTTGGTTATTCTGCGCCATGCGAATGCCAACCTGACACAAAGTTAAGATCACAACAGCGAGCTGACTATATAAGCTAAATAATGACACTAGATTTACGTTTCTAAGAGTAATAGTTTTATAATTAATATAGACAATTTCGTTACGTATGTATGTTGCGGTGTGATTTTAAAGACGTTTCACGTCAAAAAGCGGTGTTTATATTCCTCTGTTGGTTGCAAATTGCATGGTATACCATCCACCGAAGTAAACAGTTTCCCAAGCGCATTTCTTGGTTTCACGCCGGCTGATTTGCCGGTCGCTAATGAGCTTCCCCACCATGTTCAGGTATACAGGTTTCGAGGGCGAAGTATAAAACACCTTAGTGAAGCTGAAGCAGATCGCTAGTATGGTTCTTGTAGAAACGAGCCTGACGTGTGGTTCAATTATTACGTCCTATGCTTTTTATTAGACTTGATTATTTCCTTAACTCGTTATTATAACAATTAATTAAATTCAGTTTTTAATGATAATTATGTAAATATTTTATTAGACACTAGTTAGTTGCCTAGGCGTCACAAGTCACGCTTGATATAAAAAGTGGACAGTTTTATTGAATTTATAGGAACAATTAAAATAAAACTGCGATAAACTTTTAAGTTTGAATGAATTTACGTAATAAAAAAGAACCATAATAAAAACTTACTAGCAATATTTAATGTATGAATCTTAAAATACCTATACCTAACGGTTGAATATCGCGGACAAAATTTTTTAAATTATCTTTTATTGCATACTATTACATCAAACATACTACTAACGTGAATAGAAAAATAGAAACACATCAAATAGAAAAACCATCTTTTCGGTTTCTTTCGAAAAGATAGTTTTATTTAAAATGTCAAATATTCGCGAAAATCTAAGAATGTATTAAATATAATAACTTTGAACTGATTTAAATTCTACATGTATTTTTAACTCCAATCATAGATATTATATTAGATTGTTTTTTCTAACTTGCAAAAACCATGGCTCACGTGGGACCAAAGGTAAAAAAAGAAGGTCATAGTAAATATGCTACGTAAAATTTATCGAAATCATGAACAAAATAGTGGTGTCCGCAATCTATACATATAATAAAATTGTAACTAAGCCGAATCTGTACATAAAATATTTTTTGGAAAATCTTATTGAAATAAATATTATTAATTATTATCGATACAGAGGCCGAATTTATAGTTTTTAGAATTTTTGTCTGTCTTTCTGTCTGTCTGTCTGTTACCGCGTCAAAGAAAAACCACTGGAAGGATTTTGATGAAATTAGGTATGGTGATAGCTGGTTATCCGGGTCAACATATAGGATACTTTTTAGCGCGGAAAAAATCTCATTTCTGAGAAAAAATACAAAAACTGCAATGTATACTAATATGTAAAACCTAAGAATTTGGTTTTTGGCCATCTGAACGCGGGCGGAGCCGCGGGCAATGCTAGTTATACATAAATGTCTATTTGGTTTCTTCTAGGAACTCTACATTTTTTCTTTTGTAAAACGTGTATTTATCCTAATATGTTAAAAAAATGTTTCAGAACAAATACTCCCAGACAAACTATGGAATTTGGAGGCTACCAGTTTCCGAGCGACACACCTTCCTATCCTTCAGGACCTTGTTTCTATAGATATATAAAATCATTCGTTAAACATTTCAACTTGCTACCAAATATCCAAGTAAGTAGGTGACGCCTAAATTAATTTAATTTTGAATATTATTTTATTTTAACATGTCGTTGTTTTTTTATAATATACAGATTAATAATAATAATTTAAAAAAAAACTAAATACACACGTTTTGGAGTAACTCTATTGTAGTAGTAGGGGAGCCCAAGAGGGGATTTTTGTAGTTACTCAAGCGCGGCAGATTAACATAAAAGAGGTTACCTTGCACTCTATTGAGTACTTTCACCATAATATAAGTCTTCTATATAAAGGGGCGCGTCTAGGGAAGCCGATTAAAATATTTAAAAAATGTTTTGATAAGGTAGAAATACTTGAAACCGTCAGATTAAGGCGTGGTAGGCTAGTCACATCCTGAAAAGTGTCCAATTCAATAATCTGCCGATTTGCACAAGCCGAAGAGGAATCGACAAATCGAAATCGAAATAAATCAAATAATAATAATAATCCAATCAAATCGACTATAAAGTTTATGATGATTTTTTGCCTCTTAGGCTTGTGCAAATCGGCAGATTATTAAATTGGACACTTTTCAGGATGTGACTAGCCTACCACACCTTAATCTGACGGTTTCAAGTATTTCTACCTTATCAAAACATTTTTTAAATATTTTAATCGGCTTCCCTAGACGCGGCCCTTTATATAGAAGACTTATATTGTGGTGAAAGTACTCAATAGAGTGCAAGGTAACCTCTTTTATGTTAATCTGCCGCGCTTGAGTAACTACAGAAAATCCCCTCTTGGGCTCCCCTACTATAGGAGACTCGTGAAGAGTTTCTCTAAACACTTCCATGCTCCATCATTAGATTAGTTCGATGGTCTTATATTTTTGTAAATCATAATATATTTAAAAGCAGGTTGAAATTGACTTCCAAGATTTAATTATATTGACGCTACGTACACGTGACGCTAGTAAAGCGTATTAAAACAACAGAAACACAAAGGCGTAGCGCTTGTGTAATACATTGCAATTATATTTTTTTGCGATGGAATTAATTCGTATGGATAGATCTGAAATTCGGAGTTGACGCTGTCAATGTGTTCTGAGTTACAAAGTAGTATGCTGTTTAGATAAATAATTGTCTAATAGATTATAGGAGAATTCCTTAAATGAAACATAAATTATGAGAACAATAGGAATCAGTTACAACTTAATCGATGTTTAAGAGAATCTTTAAAAGATTATGTCCCATAACGGAAGGGCCAGCTGAGTAGTAAATACGTGACTTGAACGCGTAGTATTGTAATATAAAGATGTAGATTAGGACTATTGTATGAAAAGTGACAGTTTTGTAGATATAAATAGCTTTGAAAACAAGATTTTTTTTATAGTTGCCGTTTGTAAGAATGGAAATCCTACGCTTATGTAGTAGACATATAAATTATCTTGAATATTATTGCGTGCTTGCAATTACCGGGTAAATTCAGTTTTTTCTTTGACACCTAATAAATAAGATACACAATAGATATCTAATTGGATTCAAAATGAAGTTTCATGTGTAATAATTAACGGAAAACTCATTAGTAAACATATTACCTGTTGTGCACTTGGATACCTTCCGTTATTAAAAACAATTAAAAAATAACTAGCCAATATGAATTTATAAATAAGGTTTTATATACATAATAATATCTTCAATAAAAGTTTTAATCAATATTCCTCATGCGTCATTCACGGAACTTATTATTTTTTGCCTTTCTAAAAGTTTTTTTAGTTTTATAACTCGTACTTTAAGTTTTATATGATATTTTATTCCTATTATTTTTAAGGTGTACGTACTCCACACTACCGTACCACGACTCATACACAGATCATGTCTAGTCTATATTTGTGCTGAATTGCTAATTTAGTACACAGACAATTTATCTTATCTAATTCCGTCCAGCTGTTCTAGCGTGAAGGAGTGAAAAACATACATATACAACCTCTAGCATTTATAATAGTAGTCTAATATTCTAAAACGTTAACATTAAGTTCAAGTACATTTAAAAACTGTAAGCTTGTACAGTGGACACCGTATACCTATGTACTATGTACTATGACTCTACAAGTCTGTAATAAGGATAAAGTTAAAATAATATAAATATTAATGATCTTGTATCTGCGTCGAATAATTTGTATTATTTTACCTACAGTTTAAATTTAATTTAATATTATTAATTGGTTTAAGGTCCGCAGCTTAGTGATGTCAGTAAGGTTTTTCAATGATCAATGGTTCTTAACGTACATGCACACAAAGGAGAGAAAGAACTACACTGTATCATGTGATTTTGTAGTTATCGCTAATGGCCAGTATGTTAAACCAAACATACCCAAGTTTCCGGGTTTAGAAACGTTCAAAGGTAAATAAAAATCTTTGACAGAGATATTTAGATTAATTATATATTTTAGTACTAGTTACCTAGCTGGCGTATCGGCCAAAGAATCGTTATTGCGATTCATCAAGAGAATACAGATTGCATCCTTGTCACAATTCCTCGTGGAAATGTACGGTAAATATGTATTATGTGTAAAATTGTTTTGCCCAATGAGTGTAGTATTTTATATGTTACAGTCAAAACTATTTTTTAGTCAAAAGTAGTTTTGTAGTAAAGAGATTGGTCAAAATTAGTTTTTAATGCAGGCCTTGGTCAATAGCAGGTTTTTCTGTGCCCAGAGGCAGTGCTAAGACTGAATCCGGCACTAGTGATATCGTTAAAAACTCTTAAAAAGTTAAGGTAATGTAGGTTGAAGGTTACTCGGAAGAACTCTTTCTTTCTTTCTAAGTTGGCTTAGGTAACACAGGTAAACGTTAGAAAAAAAAATGCCTACAGTTAAAACAATTTTTTTTACTGTGACATATATAATATTTAAGTATACATTTAGTTTGTCATAAGACAATTATCAGTCACAAATATGTGTCATTTTAAAAAAAAAACACGAGATATAGCATAAAGCAAATCGCAATTGATATGAGGTAGTGATCACGCAAATGAGGGTTCATAAGTTATCTTTCACTAAGACATTGTAAAACATATAAGGGAACTTAATAATCGATCAAATTATCATTAGTACATTTTATGTTATATTAAATTATTTAATGTATTTACAGGGTCAATAATTCACAGCCACGATTATAAAGAACCAGAAAGATATCAAAATCGCAGAGTATTGTTGATTGGCGCTGGACCTTCAGGACTCGACCTGGCTCTACATTTGAGCAATTCTACTGCTAGATTACTTCACAGCCACCACTTATCATATAATCAGCCTGATTTTGGCAAAAATTTCGTTAAGAAGCCTGATGTAAAGACTTTTGTTTCTGATGGAGTTATTTTTGTAGATGATACGTTTGAGGAAGTAGATGACGTCATATTGTGCACAGGTTTATATTAATGTCTTTCTATTATTTTATACTTTTTATGTTGATATCAGATAAAGAAATCCATGAAATTTAATATATAAATCGATTTGTTACGTCTGTTTCGTTTTCATGTTTTTTATAAATAGGATAAAATAACCTCGAGGTTATATAACATATACAATTTTTAAAGAAAAGTTCACGCCTAAGGGTTTAATAATTAAACATTAAAGCAATTTTTAGGTAGGTGTACCTATTCTCAAAAGTTATTTAAAAAAGGTGTTGCTATGTAAATCAAAAAACTATTAAGTCTTATTTAAGCATAGTTTTTAGGTACAATTCTGTAAACGTAGGAATATGAGGATCTTCAGGGAAATTTCTTATATTCCTACGTTTTTCAGTATGATTAAAAAAATATTTTATCTTACAGGTTACGAGTTCTTACACCCGTTCTTAGATTCAAGCTCGGGTTTGACGTTATCAGGCAAATATGTTTTGCCTTTACATCAAAGTATAGTAAACATTAGACATCCTACCATGACTTTTATTGGAGTAGTCAAAAAAGTCATTACCCGGGTCATGGATGCTCAGGTAACTATTTAAATAATGTTCCTTTATGTAAGAATATTTGAAGACGCTTGAGATTTATCTGCGAGGCCGTGAGTTCGAGTCTCAGATAGGGCCAAACATCGTTAATGAGTTTTTAAGGTTTATATAGTATGAAGGTTGGCTGTGTATCAACTAACCATTCTCTGTGAATACTCATAGTTAAGTCTAAATAGAAAATATCTGATGTTTGTATTACCAGTGCATAATAAATAATAATAAATATGTTGGGACATTAACACTGTGAGCTTTGTGTTATGGATACCAGATAGTTAATACACTACACATATATAACTTTAATACATATACATTATAAATATAAACACCCATGACTACAAAGGAGTACAAACATTCGTGCTCATCACACAAAAGAATGCCTCAGCGGGACTCGAACCTGCGACCGCTGGCACAGCAAGTAGGGACACTACCAACTGAGATAAACGTTTCATCAATAATAGTTTATATAATTTAAGGCGGAATACATAGCATCTTATATTGCGGGTAAATTTAAATTGCCTTCCCAAGACGAGATGTTAAAAATGTGGTTGGACAAAGCTTACCGACTTCGAGTACGAAAACAGAAAATAACTGAAATCAATACAATTGGGCCAGATATGGTAAGCTCCCGAATTTATATGTTTATTTACGTTTATTATTTTTTACCTCAGACTATACTATGGAAATCACTAAATACAACAAGATTCATGATTATAAACCACCGGTCTGACGGTTCATAAATTATATATTTTTGCTGAAGTCTTTCGCCAGTTCTTTTCAGGTTTGAGACTTCCTCTTTCCAAACTGGTAGTAGACTCATATCGTTCAGTAAAAAAATGTAATAATTTAATGCTGACTATAATAAATTGATTTTGGATACCAGCAAACACATTTATTTTTGAAGTGATTTATTATAAAAAAAAAGTAATAGTTAAAATATTACAATTAACGTGATTGAGTAATTAATATGTAAATATATTTGATGATGATGATGTTCTCCTGGCCGATTCCGGCCACGGCGGCCAATCTCATTGAGACTAGCCAACTGCGCAGGAGATATTATAGTGCACAAGTGTACGCGCAGACACAAGTGCACTCTCTATTCCTGTCACTCTCATACTCCGGTGGGACGACTGCTCGACACGACCAGTGAGAGTTAAGGCGCAGGACCGACGACTTTACGTGCTCTCCAAGGCACGGGGGTGAAACACCGCCAACTTCCCAACTCCGGGCTGTTACTGAGACTTACTATACAGAAAGACTCAATAACTAAACTTGGTCCGACCCGGGACTCGAACCCAGGACCTCCGAGGAGTGTGCAGCCGTACATGCTAGCCACTACACCACCGAGGCAGTTCATTTATAATATCAATAGCATAGAAGAAAGCAATCTATCGATGTTGCGTCCATATTATTATTTTTAATTATACATTTAAATTAAATCACTTACACTCTTAATTCGTAATATTGTAACCGAAAATCAGCGTTGATCATTGCATGCGACCCCGCGTGTTTATATCAAGGCTGAGTGATCTTCCTTATTGTGATGTTACAGCAGATATCGTTTTATATTCATTTGTTTTTATTTAAATGTTTTTTTTTTGTGTCTGTGGCAATGTGTATCTCAAATAAAGTTATAACTATTCTATTCTAATAACTAACATTTTTTTATTCTTAATTAGTAAAATTTTATTAAGTTTAGTATTTACAATGATTTTTATTATTTTCAGGACCAATATTTTGCTAATTTAACCAAAGAAGCCGGTATCACGAGGGTTCCACCAGTACTCTCCGAGATAAGAGACTTCAATGCTCAAAATCGATTGGACGATTGGCTTCACTATAGGGAATATGATTTTGAAATAATTGATCCATATAATTACAAACGGTCCTATGCAGGGAGTCCACCGGAGAAATGCCCCGTTGAAGGTCAAGATGAATAAATATGAATAAATTAAAACCGGAATAATATTTATGCCGACGCGACGTTTGTGTGTGTTTAATACACCAAGTATAATTTATTTATTGTACAGATTCGTAGTTATTAGTAGGTCGTCGTCACTAAGTATTGATTATGTAATCTGTGGTTTACCCCAGGATAGAAACCATTTCAGTGTGAAGACACATGCCCACACACACAATTCACAAACTTTGGAATTAATACTAGTAGTGTGGATATAGGTATTAAATAATATGCTGCAGTATTTTAAAAATTCTAACGTTTAGAATATATGTAAGTAATATCTTATACATAAACTTAATCATTTTTACTATTTTTTTTAAAAGTATCGAGATATAGAGATTCAAGTTTGATATTTTTACTTTTATATTTAATAGGCTAATGGAAATTTATTAAATATGTAAGCAATAACGTTTAAATGTACTATTCCGATTTTGATCAAATTTGTTTCACGTGTTCATTATGACCATAGATTATATATTTGTTGTGATTAGGTACATTCTTACAAAAGCTCTGTAGCAGTATCTACAGTACCTACTCTATTATATATCAACGTCGTTTTTGTTATTTATATTTTTAGTAGCGAAAGTTGATAAAGTGTAAAAGAATTTTACTTTTTTTTCAAATAAATGAAATTATAATTGAATCCGATTTATAATACCTAATTAATGAATCGATGTACAAACTCAGCATTCTATTACATTATATGTATATAAATGCAAAATAAAATTGTATGATTAAGGAAATTTTAAGGCTAGCAATGCTCTCTATACCTCATCTCTGTAAGCACCTCCATGTTTTTTTAAATATCTCTCTCAAGATAAAGTGTTAACTAATAGTTACCATATTTTTCATAATACATAGATCATATAATGATTGTACTTATGTAATAGTTATAATAGTTATTTCTCAAATACCACACAGATAAGTTTGATGCCCAGTGTTTGGTAGCCCAGTGGTAACGCGCTCGCTTGGGAAACCGAGTGAAGCGAGTTCAAATCCCCAGTCTCGCACTTCTGATATTTTCGTATGCAAATCATTTCCAACATGATTACTACATGATTGTCTTAACGGTGGAGGAAAACATCGTGAGGAAACCTGCATGTCTGAGAGAACGTAGCAAGTTTTCAAAAGACATGTGAAGTCCACCAACCCGCACTTGGCCAGCGTGGTGGACTATGGCCTGATTCCCCTCGTATTGAAGGGAGGCCCGTGCCCAGCAGTGGGTCGTAAGAAAGGGCTGAATATAAGTTTGACGACAGATGGCAGCTCTGAAGATATTTGGTGTGTGTAATGTACTTACTGTGTAAATCCATTATTAAATAAGGAGACTTTGCAATTGAAATTAACAAATTACTTTATAATTAAGTACATCAGATTACTGTTATTTAAGAATGTAGTAGTAGTAATAGTGAAAATGTCAATAATAATAGACGTGCCACAAAATTTATATAATGTGAAATGTTTAAATTATGTAATGAAAATAAAAGGACATTATGTAAATGTTTTATTTTATTAGAAAAAATAAATATGCTATATGTTTAATGCTATGTGTACGTATTTGGCATTTGTGATGATGATGTTCTCCTGACCGATCTTGTTGAGACGAGCCAACTGCGCAGGAGATATTATAGTGCAGCGCGTGTACGCGCAGGCACAAGTGCACTCTTTATTCCTGTCACTCTCATACTCCGGTGGGACGATTGCTCGACACGACCAGTGAGAGTTAAGGCGTAGGACCGACGGCTTTACGTGCTCTCCGAGGTGAAACACCGCCAAGTTCCCATCTCCGGGCTATTACTGAGGCTTACTATACAGAAAGACTCAATAACTAAACTTGGCCCGACCCGGGACTCGAACCCAGGACCTCTGGGTGTGCAGCCGTACATGCTGGCCACTACATCACCGAGGCAGTTAGCATTGTTAGTTGGCATTTGTATAACGTTGGCCGTTGCCTTTACAAAGTGGTGTCGCTTAGATCATATACAGTGAGAACAAGCCTATATACTTATAGTAGATTTTTATTAATGTTATTTAAGAATGTACTTTGAAAATGACAATAATAATAGACATGCCACAAAATGTATAGTGAAATGTTTAAATTGTGTAAAGAAAATAAAATAAAACAATGTGTAAGTATTTTCTTTTATTACAGAACAAATTAATATGCTATGCCATGTATTTAATGCTTCGTGTACATACTAGCATATATGTATAACGTTGCATACACATAATGACATCGCTTAGATCATATTAAGTGAGAAGATACTTACCTAATAGTGTTTGATAAAGTCGATGTAAACCATACATGATAAAATAGTAATGAAGTCAAATGTGTACAAGAAATATTTTTTAAATCTATGATTGTTACATATTGTGTATGGAATATAGACTCCCAAAATAATCGTTGCTGAAATTTTTGTCTGTATGTCAGTTTGCCTGTATATCTGTGACCATTAAACGTAAAAAGTACGAAACTGATTTTAACTAAAGGTTGTGCGTGATAAGATAACTTATTACTCGGCTCAACATTTCGGTCGTCATTAGAAATTTACATGGCTAGCTAAACCTTAAGAGATACAACTAGACAATGTACTAGAAAGTTGTAGGTCTTAAAAATACCCACAGAAAAGTCCGAAATATCATATGTCTATCTAATATGGAACAGTGCAATAGGTAACTATTTTTATCTATTTAAAACGTACTGTATACGGACGCGGACGCACCAGAGCGAAGCGAGGGTAAGTATTTGAAATAAAAATTTAATTTAAAATAAATTTGCTAAATAAAGAACAAAAATATAAAATGTTCCTTAAAATATACAGGATCATTTTTAATTTACCTCAAACCTTTTGGGAATACACTATTTACAACATAACAACAACATCTGCAAGAAAGAAAAATAATATATCTTAAATTTAACAAAAATAAAAATGTTTTTATTGCACCTTCTCAACGGTAATAGTCCAGCATTACCAAAAGAAAGTGCGTGTCCGGTGGACGGAGAGGGGTGGAGGGGTGTAGTAAGCCGCGCTTGCTCATTTAAAGTTGGGCAAATGCTGGAACTTTAAATTTTAGAAGGTGCAAAAAAAATATTTTTATTTTTGTATGAAAATAAAAATTTAAGAAATATTATTTTTTCTTGTAACAGATGTTGTTGTTATGATGTAAATAGTATATTCCCAAAAGGTTTTCAGTGATTAAAAATGACCCTGTATATCATATTTCTACAGGTGTATACTTTATAGATAATATTATGTTATAAATTATAATTTACACTAATATTACAATGTGATATATTATTGCAAACAATACTTTTTTACTTAGGTACTAATTTATTCCGTTGTCTGACTTCTGTGGTAGGATCCTAACGAAATTTTCATTATCAATGACCTTGTAAACATAATTTCTATACGTATAAAGATTTTCCAGTTTTGCTACCATATCAAGACTGCGAATCTTGAACATAACTGGCGGCACCCTGTCTATGCCGGACTCATTCGTTAACTCGGCGTAATAATCGTCCTGTAAAAGGGCAAAAACTTAGTTGTTAGAGAAATAAACTTAAAATTTATTGGAGATTACAGGTTAATTATTAAAGTTATACCTATATTATCTTATCTTTTTATTCTTAAATGGTGTACTTACTTCTTTTTCTCCTAAGAAATGAATATCGGATAAGGGTCGTCCTTTCGATTTGATTACATCTACATGCTTCTGCCATTCTTCCAGCATTTCTTCTTTCGAGGGTAGTGTAAAATTACCTTTTATCAATGCTGTGGCATAACGTGACTGAAATATTTTTTGATTTAATACTTTCTCTTACAAAATATACCTACTAAAAACGTGTAATCTTTTCATTCGAAGATTGAAAATTGAAAAACTGTAAACAACTTTTAGCGTGATATATAAGTATGCCAAAAGTAACGTAATAAGTAATTTTAATAGAAAACACAGGTTTTTAGTTAAAAATATTTTTTCATTGTTTCATAGAATATACCTATAGCCACAAAATTCGGCCACGGCCACATATGCGCATACCTTACAAAGATGTGGCCGAATTTTGTTAATACAAATGCTCAATTCGCTCATTTAATCATCGTGCTATAACATTTTTGAAACCATAGGGAAAAAGACCAATGACGTAAAATCGATGATTTGGAGAGCCAATTCATCTTTATCAGAAAATGTCTAATTGAATAATTGAATTGCCTTGAATTATCATATCGTTAGAGTAAGAGTACATAATCGAATTTTCGAGGGGTAGGGTTATTGCTGATCTAAATACATATTTGTTTCGTGTTTTCAATAATTGCTTGTCATACCATGTGATAATTTTGTCGATTAACAAGGTCGTCAATTATGACGTCATGAGGTCGATAATTAATATGATCCTAATCGCTAATGATGAGTTTGTGTTTAATGTCCGGATTCTCTAATTATGTTTCTACAACATTCAACAATAATAATAAGTTGTCTGTATTACGATTAAATGCTACTAAGCTTATTTCTTTGGAATATTTTTCAAAATTTTGGGTTATGTGCCCTTTTAAGCAGTAATTCATTATTTTCCCATTTACATTTAGAAGAAAAAAGACCATAAAATAAAAATATCTATACTTTACCTGGGCATCTAAAGCAACGACCAAACAAGCGCGTACAGTGAGCCCCATTAACATCATACTAGGATGATGTATGTTTACCATGTATTTATGCAATGGCGTCACACTATGTGGAGCAATGTTTAATTCACAACTTTCATCCAAAAACGGATAATCAAATTCGTATCCTGAAAAATAATAAGTTTCAATTTAAATATAAAGATATATTTTTAATCTTCTTACCTTAGATAAGAGATATTCTTAATTCAAGAGTTAAATACAAAATATAGTATGTACAATAATAAAAAGAGATTAGATTAAATCTTTTGGACAAAAAATAATAATGTTAAGGTGTGACTAAATATGTAATGGCTAATAAATTGCACAGCCCAATAAGGTCAATAAGAAAAGAAGGTAAAAATGCTGAAAAAACACAAATATAAAAAATGCGTTAAATATACTGTACAGTAATAAATAATAACCAACCTGTACAGTAAATCACATCATCGATATCTTCATAGCTTCCGTCAACAAATCTAACACCGTGTTCTGTGAACTCCTTCACATCAGGTTTCTTTATATAATTGTTAGGAAAAGGTGTTTTAAAGTTTATTTTAGAGTGATAACTATGCACTAAGGTCTTCGAAAGGTTTACCAAATCAATAGCAATGTCCATACCAGAGGGACCAGCACCGATCACAAGGACTCTACGGTCTGTGTAGGGATCTGGTTCCCTATAATCGTGACTATGGATGATTGAACCTTAAATTGGAATTAATATTGTTATTTTAAATTATTCATTTAGATGCTAAATTTAAACAAAAACGTATTATTATTAATTTTCGTTCTATTAAAGCAGTATTCAAATTATATTAACACCTCCTTGTAAATTTCTAAGAAATTAATTAAATTTCTAAGAAAATGTAACGCCGGCGCTCGTTGAGGGATTAAGGGACACTTGCAGTAAATTCCTAATATGATTTATAATGTTCTAGATATGTTTAGTTAACGTCACATTGTAGTGTTTGATAATTGCAAAACATATTAAATATTTAAGACAGGCAAGTGGTCTTGCCTTCTAATATACTTGTATTTACACACAAACGAAGAGAATAAAATTTATAAGTTCAAACATAACTGTGACAAGAATTTCTAGTTTTTCGCTATTATAGAATAATTTTATGCTTCCCATTGATTATGGGCGTATTGTTTAAGTGAAAAGAAATAAAATAATAATAGTAACTTGATTCTAGTTTTTCTGCTAGAGTTAAGCAAGGAAAGAAAATCATATTAACAGACGTTTTAATTATGTAATAAAGAACATCATTATTATAGTATAAAATTATAAGTAGCGTGATCTCAATGTCAAGAGTACCTAATGCTTGTATGGTTACAAATTTACAATATAAAAAAATATCTATAAGTGTCAATAACATTGTCAACTTTTATTTTGATAATTCCATTTATATACCTAAGTAGTATAGACTTATGATTAGATACGGAGAATGCATTGTTTCAATTGCCATAATATTGTAAATTTTATTGAATTTCAACATCTAATTTGATACGGATGACATAAAATGTAGGTACTTTTAAATTGTTAAATATTGAAATTTATAAATAGCACAATTTGTCTTGGTATTTAACATCGATTTCAAGCTACAACTAGGTGAACAATTCAAATTATAATTTATCAACCGATGTCAAAAAGGAGGAAGTTCTCAATTTTTTTTTACCCTAATAGATTTAAAGTAGAATATCGTATCCCATAATATACATTATACATACTTATCTATGGGATAAGTAGCTTAAACACTATAGTTAAATTAATTTATTATGGTGTTTGGGATGAAAGGATATAATTATCATTTATGTTTATACATATAATCCATACCAATATTATAAACGTGAAAGTGTGTTTGTTTGTTTGTTTGTTTGTTTGTTTGTTTGTTTCTTTCTTTCTTTCTTTCGTGTCGAAACGGCTTGGCGGATTGGTGTGATTTTTTGTGTGGAGATAGTCGGAGGACTGGAGAGTGACATAGGCAACTTTTTACCGAGGGAGATTATCTCTTTCCCACGGGAAAACACGTTATAATACAATCCAAAAAATATTTATGATCAGAATTAGTTGAAACTTGGTATTAATGCTCTTCAATACAATTAATTAAATACGTGTTTTAGCATTTTTCGAAATTTTTTGTAGTTTTAGCGCGAGCAAAGCCGCGGTTTATGCTAGTATAAAAAAACATTATATGTACATACAATTTTAAAGTATTAGATATAAACAAATAGTTTTCAAACCTTTAAACAGTTCTTCTCCTGGAATATTTGGCATATGTGGCTTACTGTGATGTCCATTACCGACTATTACAAAGTCGAACTCTTCTTCGAACTCGTCACCACTTAATATATTTTGATACTTTACGATCCACACATTGTCTTTTCTTGTAACTAAATTGACTCTATGTAGAAACTAAAAATAAAATAAATATAATAAATATTATCTCCCTAAAATTTTATAAATAGTGTACTTTGTGGTTTCATTTTAGCTTTAGTTATTTAAAATTTATTAGCAAGTATTTAATTATTTAAACTAAAAGGTTATATCAATTGATTGGAGGAAAAACTTAAAGAAATAAAATTGGTACGATTAGTTTATATTATTATTGTTATTATGATTAACTTATCATATTGTAAATAAAATGAAATCATCATTTTAAATTAATTGGATAGTTATATATTTTGTAGAATAAATAATCATGTTGTGTCGATTGGTAACGTAAACGCTATTACGAGTATTATACTTTTACTACCTTAGTTATATCATCGTCGTTCATCTTTTATTCTACTCATCCATCTATTATAATAAAAATAATAAGATTTATTTACAACTAGCGTCTTGCCATCGCTTCGCTCGGGTGCGTCCCTTAGTACGTATACATAAATAGTTATTGTGAGTGTACCTTAGAAGAAAGATGCTATTGCAGATTTTTCTGTAGGCCTTTTTAAGACCTACAATTTTCTAATACATTGTTTTGATGTATTTCATCATCTCATCATAAGGTTTAGCCAACGTTAACCATATGAATTTCTAAGGACGACTCGATAGAACCAGTTTTTGGGTTTTCATTCGTGGGAATAAAAGATTTTCCTGTAGTAAAAGGTATCCTAAATGTTGATCCGAGTAATAAGTTTTAACAAAATATTAAATATGTGTATCGAACACATAAGGGCTAAGGCCCTCACGCGTTATGGGGAATGTTAAGACTTAAGGTATTCGTTTGTATTTTCTGTAAACTAGCCATATTAAAATATTTCGGCCAATTTCGTACCTATACTATAGGTTACTTATGTTATTCGTTATTGTCTAGGTAAGTAGGTGCCCTCCTTGTCGTGGTGGGGGGGCTCAGTAGTGCCCGGCAATACAGCCGGGCGCAAAGCCAAGAAACGCACAGGGAGGTGGCCCACTTCGGTGGGCGGCGGGAGGTGGCCCTCGTCGGAGGGCGGTGTACCATGCGGGTTGCTCCTGGTACTTCTCTGATAGCAGAGTGGACCTTGGAGATACCCCGTGGTTGTTGTGGTCTGCTTCGGCAGACCTGCCGTCGGGGCGTCGTAGTTGAATGCGTAAGCGATCCTGCGACTCCCCATTAAGACGGGGGAAGGCTTTGTTGGGTTTTAGTGGGTAGTACTGGCTTTACCGATGAGTCCCACACCTCGTGCGTAAATGCATTTCCCAAGTTTAAAAAAAAAGGTAAGTAGGTACTATATGTACCCAACATTTTTGTGCAGTATATTCAGAGTAAATAGGACGTTATAGACGAACAGACAATCACATGTTCCTATATGTACAAAACCTAAAGAAACAATTGTATTATAATTTTTAATCAATGAACGTAGACAATCCATGGCCTCGTATTTAATTTTATATATTTTCTTATATTGTTTTGTAATATTTACCTTTATGTGTTGTTCCAAATCAAAATGTCTCGCATAATCTTTTACGTAATCATAGTAAAGTTTCCAGCTTGGGAAGCTGGGGAATTCGTCAGGTATTGGGAAGCCTTTGAGTTCCATTGTTGCCTTTGGTAGATTTGTTCTAATAATTAAAAACACTTGTTAGCAAATGATGTTTAAAATCTCTTACTCAGTTTTATGATTTTTTTGTTTTATATCTTATCGTATTTTATTTTTTATAGTTAATTTTATTTAAATGATGTACAATGTAAATAAAATAGCAGAAAACACGAAGAACATAAACACGTAGACAGGTTATTTTTTAAATAATAACGCTTTTTACTTTTGTTGCAAAAAAAACCATTTGGAATATTTCATTCCACCGCGTCGTACCGTAGTTACTAAAACCTTATATGCCACATTTCAATTCAGTAGGTGGCACGTAGGTGGCACTGACAAACATAAAAAACTCTTGTCCTGAGTTTGATAAGATATCGCGTTGCTACCTGAATTACCCAGAACAGATTTCGATTCGCCAGATTGGAATCTTTCTCAATTTTATTTATTGGATAGTTTTTCCTATGTACGTATATGTGCACCAACTTCCGGCGTAAAAGCCCTTGGAGGAGTTTTATTGCGTACCTGATGATTAAACTGGCAAAATTTGACTAAAGCGACATGAACCATCGACGTAATTTTCGTCTTGTCTATATTTATTATAAGATCAACACATTTGAAAGCTCTGTTGATCAGTCATCAAACAACATATTGAGGTCTTCTTTTGAATCAGATATTCTTAACACTTCCTGCCTTGCCATTATTTAGGCTTCTACCCCGACTTAACTTGGTGAGGCTGTGAGATATTGGGGATGCTGTTGCTGGTTGGGTTAGTACTTAAGGAAGATTTTCTATAATTGCCAGACTTCATTTTACACGCTGCTTCTAACTTCCGGTATATATTTTCGTGTTTGGTATATATTATTTGAGGTATCTTACAACTCTGAGCCAGTAAAGGGCTTTTACTATTCTAATTCGATTGTTCTTGTAAATGGTTTCAAATCGTGCTATAATCGTGATAATGGATGACAATTTTATATTTTATTGCTTTATTAAAACAGCAATTTATAATACTTCTTACCTCAAATGCTTGTACATGCTAGTATGCACTGGCATACCGTTTTCATCGACTCCAACCCTTGGGTCATATCGCCAAGTGCCTCCAATGTACCGCGTAGATTCAAAAACTTTAAAATTTATGCCTTCGTCTTTTAAGTACCTAGCTGAGGCGAGCCCGGCGATCCCAGCACCTATTATACATACTCGAGGAGTTTTATTGCGTACCTGTTAATGGAAAGTTATAATTAGCCTTATCTTAAGCAAACATGGAAGATTGAGTTCAACATACCTATGTATTGTATATTCTAACTTTTAAGAAAAACAATGGCAATCTGCTTAATATTCGATATACTGGCGAACACGAATGTTTAGATTGTTGTAGTTAACGTAAGTAAAGTTTCATCTGTTTGTATTCGTGTTAAGTTAGTTTATGCTCGTTTAGTATTTGACATGTGATTTTAATTTTATTTTTTTAACCTACATATGAATTCTGTTACTGTTGATTAGCTATCTGTTTTTTTTTGTGGTTTTAGATATGTATTTTTGGTTTCAAAATGTTGAAGTGCCTAAAACTTAAATTAGCTCAATGTAAAGATCAACTACTCAGGTTTATCTTGAATAGTAAATATTGATAACAAATAAATAATAGCAGATAATATTAAAAATAATTATATTACAATTTTATTATAACATACTTTTAAAAATTTTTTTTAATTGTTAACGGAACCTCATCATTTTTACTAATACGTATGAAAACACTATTTTTCCTATTTTTCTACATTAGTGTCGCTTAATATTTTTTTTAATATAATCGAATATTGGTGATATAAAAACCATAGTTTGCTATGATTATGAAGATGTATTATAAAGTTCCTCATTTTGTATTACATAAATGTCAGTTTCGAAAGCTCCTTAAAGAAACAACCTTAAAATTGACACTAATGTCGTTTCACTCGTTTAACTAAATATTAGTCTATACCATCAATATATATATATATATATATATATATATATATATATATATATATATATATATATACATACATACATACATATACAGATTAGCGACTCGCTAATATTCGTATAAAATTTAAGTAACTAGGGAGTTACGTTTTAATGGTGAGTTTAGATTTCTCAAAGATGAGATAATTAAGTAAAAAGTATCCTTTATGTTGACCCGGATAACCAGTTTTCATCATACCAAATTTCGTCAAAATCGGTCAAGTGGTTTTCTCGTGATGCTTTCCGTTCGTAGACAGACAAACGAAAATTCTAAAAACTATAGATTCGGCCTCTGTATTGATAATAATGATTATTTCAATAAGATTTTCCAAAAAATATTTGATGTAGAGATTCGACTCACAATTTTATTATATGTATAGATTTATTAGGTTAACACCCAATTTCGGTGTTTCCTTTGTATCCACAAAACCCGTTCGTTCATAATATTTATTTGTAAAGTTTTACAAATAATTGTATTAGTTTTTATAATAAGAAAAAGTGATGTAGGTATTTAATTGAATATTTGTAGTTTTTTTGTATTATACTATGTACTAAAGAAAATAATAAAAAGTAAAATAATTAAGGAAGCTCTGTAAATGCACTTCAAGTAGATACTTGTCAATAATAATCGGCAACTTCACATTGTTCGCTCTGTAGACGTAGAGTGTAGACGTCAGAGTTCAACTTCAGACGATAGCGTTATTGAATTCCGAATTGGAAGTTGACACTTGACAGATATTGTTTAACCTTTAATTCAATATTTATAAGGATTTTTTTATACTTTAACACGGAATTGAATTGAATAAATAATTAAATCCTGAAGTGGTAATTGCCACACTTGTTTTCAATTAGAAAATTTGTCAATTTAAATCAATTGTGAAGTTGTATTTAACGATAGGTAAATGATAAATAAGTATCTACTAATTATTATGCCATTTACTCACCATTTCCTTTCGATAACTTCTATAAGGGCAAAAATAAGTTCTTTGTTCTATACACTGGTGCTCAAGAAGATTATTTATTTAAATGTTTAACATTAATTTTCCGCGGATCAAAAACAAGACTTTTACATAAAAGCTAGTAGCACACTAACGCGACGGTGATCTTTTTTGTCTTGCAAAAATATAGTCGGCACGGCATTGATAGTATTATCATCATATTAAATGTAAATATTTATGATGCTCGTGCGTTGTGTATAGTCATGCGCGTATCACAGACTAATTATCGAAATCGTATAGGTATAGTATTATATCGTATACTTACATATCTATACTTATAATAAAATTCTAACAGCCGAATCTGTACATAAAATATTTTTTGGAAAATCTTATTGAAATAGACATTATTATCGATACAGAGGCCGAATCTATAGTTTTTAGAATTTTTGTCTGTTTGTGTGTTATCGCATCACGGAAAAACCACTGGAGGGATTTTGATGAAATTTGGTATGATGAAAGCTGGTTATCCGGGTCAACATATAGGATACTTTTTCCGGGTCAACATATAGGATACTTTTTCCGGGTCAACATATAGGATACTTTTCATTGCGTGAATATATCTCATTTCATGATGAAGTTAGCTGATAACTGTCTCCGGTTCTCGTGAAAGCTCAACTATATTCAAAGTAGTTTCTTAAATATTCATAGATCTATAACACGTGTTTTATATTAGTGGAGATAAAAAAATTACTATATACTTATTCATTTTTATTAATTTATCATTCCTTTTACAAACAGAGAATTGTGATATATGGGATAAAAACTTTAGCTATTTTTGTTCTGTTACGCCAAATAAGTATAACTTCTTACGTGCGTACAAAAGTACACTAACATGTTTTAACGTAAATTAAACCAACACTATATAATTATATATTTGACCTGTAAACATTCATCTTCATACTCTACCTGATAAAAAATGCTGTATGTCTATTAAAAGATAAGTTAGTATTAACAATAATTTGTACTATAGATAATATTCGTGTTTAAATAAACTTCGATTACTAATTATAAATAAAACACGTTTTATCACACAGAGTATGAAGATGAATGTTTACATGTCAAATATATAATTTTATAGTGTTGGTTTAATTTACAAGATATTTAATATTTGTTCAGATAAATATATATATTACCTGTACATTTACAGAAAAGCGCGAGATTGATTTGCACACCGGGTTCTATAACATCGAAGGTTAAAAATAAAATAAAAAAAAACGTGTTAGTGTACTTATGTACGCACGTAAGAAGTTATACTTCTTTAGCGTAACAGAATAAAAATAGTTTAAGTGATATAAAAAAAAACTAAAGAGGTAATTTCTTGTTTTACTTAAGGGTTTTAATTAGAAAAAAAATGAAAACTGTATACTTTTGTGTCACTTAACCGGCAAATATGATTGTTCTTCGCTCTAAATCTTCGCTAATACGATGACTGATATAAAAAATGTAAAGTAAAACTAAGGATACATAGACGGATAAAAACAAAGAACATAATGCTGTATTTAAGTAAAAAGCAAAGGAGCTATTGTGGATAAGGCAAATGCTTCTATTTATGGTCATAGTTCAAGTCAAATATGTAGACTCTAAAATCGACACTTTAGTAAAAAATCTCAATCTTTGGCCTACACTTTACGTTAATTCGTTTTGGAAAACCATCACCATAAGAATAATATTTTGTAGTAAGTAGTACTCTCGGCGAGGGCTCAAAATACCATGTCAAAATTTTATTTTCAAAGTAATTTAAAATGTTGCATGGGATATTTGTGTATTCATACGAAATGACATTATCTGGATTAGCTTTGTTTAGAACGTAATTTAAAAGATGACTTTCTAAAAAAATTACATACAAGTGTGAGTCGGACTCGCCCACGGAGGGTTCCGTACAAATCTGTAGAAAATCGGTTTAACTATAATTTTTAACTTTTTTTATTTTTGGGATTTTTTCTTCTATTTGTGCTGTAAGACCTTGCTTTTTGCCAAATTTCGTGATTCGAGGTCAACGGGAACTAACATATAGGATTTCGACTCAAAACTTATAGGGTACTTCCGGTTGACCTAGAATTGTCAATTTTGGTTAAAAGCAAGGTCTTACAGCACAAGTAAAGGGAAAATTCCGAAAAATAAAAGATGTTTAGGTTTTTTAAATTTTTAATAAATATTTCATTTAATATAATTCAAGGATAGTAAATATATGAAATGATGTCAATTACTTATAAAGGTTTATTTATTTATTCGTTTGTATGTAAACATTAGACAATAAACTATGAATATATTTAAAAAGAGAAATAGAATGCTATAGTGTTCCTATGTAAATAGGCTAATTTATTAACTCAAATTAACTGAGTCACGACTAAAAGTAAGCAAGATATGTATGTTCATTTCACTTATTAAAAATATTTTTAAATAGATACGTACCTTTACAATATCTAATGCAAATATTAAGTTCACTGTTACACTCAAAGTACAAAATACGAATCTAAGAATCATTTTTCCAATAATAACTGATTAATAAAAATGTTCAATTACTTAATTAAAGTTCCAGTTCTTGTACGAAAACAGATAATACTGAGGTCCTTGAGGTTACTTCAATTATTATATAGTCGACCTTTATCGTAATGACCTATAAGGGTGATTACAATGGGAAACTGCTTTCTGGTATTTATTATTTTATGTATTATAGTTACTATAAAGTACTCCTAAATAATCAACGTACCTACGATTAATGCGTGTGTGGAATAATCTGAGAAATATGACTGGGATGTAAAAAAATAAAATGTATAGACAAACAGCAATACACCCTTTTTTACATGCTTTCTTACTTTGTTACACTATGAGATAATATATATACCTATTACTCAATTTTTTTTTGATTAAGTAGTATATTCTTGAAGAAATTGTCAAGTTGTACTTTAATGTATGTTGTAATTATTCGTGTACAGTCGGCCTGTATTTACATAATATATTATGTAAATATAAATACATAAGTTATCTCAAATCTTTTCGTATGTATATTTTTTATTCAAATAAATATAAAATGTGACGCGTTATGCTTCAAGTCGGCCATCCAGGCGAAAATTAGATTCACAAGGGGCACTCGCCTCTGACAACTGTATTATATTCTAAATTGACCATGAAAAAGAATTTTTATCAAGTTCGCCCCAAATCGGAGAGTACAGACAATACACAAGAAAAAAAGATATATTTATTTCTTATAACTTAGTAAATTATCTATGTTGTAGCTAACTTAATTTATGAAAATTGACCAATTTAACTTTAGTGTGTTTGTATAAATATACATATTTAAGAAATGGATAATCTTAGCAGGACACTTACATCAAAATAAAAAAAAACGTTTATAGACGCTTAACTTGGGTTCGTCCCTAGCTTGATTCCCCATACAAACTTTCATCCCCATTTTCACCTTAAAGGATGATTTCTGGGCTTTCTTGTCACCAAATTTCATCTAAATCGGTTCAGTAGATCCAGAAATCACTCGGGGACAACGTCACAAACTCACAAACTTACAAACGCCCAAACTCATAAACTTTACCTCTTTATAATACACTAGCAACTCGCTCTCGCTTCCCTCGTGTTCGTCCCCAGCTTGATTCCCCATAAAAATTTCATCTCCATTTTCACCCTCTTAAGGGATGACTTCCGAAATAAAAAGTATCCTATGTCCTTCCCAAGGTCATAAACTATCTTCTTACCAAATTTCATCTAAATCGGTCCAGTAGATCCCGATATTACTCCCTGTAACGTCACAAACTCTCTAACTTTACCTTTTTATAATGTTAGTATAGATACATAATTAGCATAGCTAAAAAATTTAATTTAAGAATATCTAAAAAAAATCTCAAAATACATTGATGTAATTTTTTTTCATATACTACATCAGCTAACCCTCACGTAGATTAGCCAGATGAACTTAGAGGGTGCTATGAATCACCGCCCATTCATTCACGAGGATTCCGACTTGCTCTATATTTAATTCTTGATAAATTTTTATGAATAAAATATATCTTCTGTAGATCATGAAATCATTGATAATATTTAGAGAAATTTAGAAATAAGAGAATTTATAAAATTAAATTATTATATTTTTTATTGAATTACATTAAATTTCTTCATGTAAAACTCTATTTTCTTAACATAAAATGTATCATACCAAATTTCTTCTCAATTTACGTAGTATACAAGTAAGTAATATATAAAGATAATTTTTAAATCTAAATTAATAAAAATCCTAACACTATATTCAATATTGGCATATTAAATAATGATCATGTTCGGTTATATCAAAGTCCATGCACTATTGTATACGATATACCGATATCTGTCAGTATCATATAAATCTATCGACTAGTGTCTGCATACTAACAGATTTTTCATTATATTTCTATTTACTTTTAGTAAGGCAAAAAGCCAAATTACTCATAGGTACGAGTATGTCCTGTACAAGTTAAAATTATTTCAGTCAGCTCAACGATTAGACAAAGAGATGGATAAAAATTTAAAACTAGGTTGTTCGAGGGCTTCCTAAAAACAATGAAGTTACTACTTAAGTAATTCTTAGTTAGATTAATTTTAGAACCTCATAAGAAAATAATTAAAATAGTTAAAAAGCTATCCATTTTTGGGCTTACAATCTGTTCAACTCTATCGTATTTAATTATTGTCAATATTTTACAAAGTTAAGAATTAAAGCGTCAAGGAAAAATTAGAAGTAGGTTAAAATTGACTTCAAAGAAATCATTAAATACCTATTTAGTTACAAAGTAGCATTCACATGCAAATGTATGTATATGTAGCTGAAGCAAAAACTAAGCTCAGTCTCAGTCTAATGTCTCTCCCGATATTCGTATGGGGAAATACCAGTTTGATTAAGTGTTATCAAACTGGAATGCCACCGTAACTCAATGGCAGGATGCTTGGTGTATTAAATTTTCTGTTAATTGATAAATACTTGACCACTCACGTGTATAATCGAATGTTCATACACAGTTTTATTTAGACCCAAAATAGGCCTTATTGCAATGGCTTAGGGCTTAAAATTACAAATACTAACCGTCTCTATATAACAGGGCTCATGTCGACAGGTGACCACGGCGATACAGTGATTTGATGGAAATGGAAATTTGATTTTATATTAATAGCTAACTACCAGTATAAAGATTTTGACGTCATTTTTATTCGGATTGAAATCAAAATAAACAAAAATATCAGACAATTCTTCTGTTTTTTTTTCACCTGGGAACATATTATTATTATTTTTATATAAACACATATTCGTATTTGCTAACTCAATAACCGAAAATGTCGTTTCATATTGTTCATATAACATATCAAGATATTTAATGTCGATTTTGTTTCTTGTAAAATGTAAATATGTTGGATATTAGACGAGACGACCAATAAGCGCTATCTCATAATAGAGTATCTGTAAATAAATAAATTCAAGCTATCAAATTAATATAGTATCTATAAAGATTAAAGTTAAAATCCGCTTGGTTTTACCAGTAGTACTTGAAAACTTCTTGTCTTCACCATCAGATCAGTTCTATAGTACCAAATTGTTGTATTCAGATTCCGCACTCCTTAATAGAAATAGGAAAACAAGCATTGGGTTACTTTCATTCAGATTACCTTAAAAAAGATAACATGAATAATTTAATAAATATGTTGGGAAATTAATACACAACACCACCTATAGTTCCATGGTAAGTTACGAGGCTTGTGTAGATACCAGATAGTTAATACACTACACACACACACACACACATATATATATATATATATATATATATATATATATATAACTTTAAATACATACATATTATAAGTATGAACATCCATGACTGGAGTACAAACATTCGTGTTCATCACACAAATAAATGCCCCCAGTGGGACTCAAACCGGCGACCGCTGGCACAGCAAGTAGAGCCACTACAAACTGAGCCAAACGTGTCGTCAAATAAAAAATATTTATAAACTAACTAGCACTTCCCCCGGCTTCGCCCACGTTCACACTACTAACACAAAAAGTAACCAAACTCTTCGGCTTTATATAATACCTAACAATTTGATATATATGTTTTTCAGATAAAAATGTTTATAAACTTTTGTTCTAATTATTAAATATAAAAGTAGGGCAAGTGAGAATTTGACTCGCAAAGTGAGGGTTCCATACCGCCGAATATACACTAAATATAATATTTAGATTGCAATTACAATGTTTTAGATTTGTGGATTTAAAAGTTACTCATATTTTTTTACCGTCTAGAAAAGAACTGTTTGCATTTGCAGGCTGCATATGGCTGAAAGGATGTTTTTGCTTTATAGCTAAGAACACTCTGGATCAATTCACCTTTCAAACAAAAAAAAAGTAAATTAAAATCAGTTCTTCCGTTCGGCCCTATGATGCTACAGACAGACAAACAGATACAAACGTTAAACTTATAACACCCCTCTTTTGCGTGGGAGTAACCTCCCAGTAAGCAGTAAAAAAGTAGCATTCAAATTTACGAATTTTCCGGTGGATTTAAAAAAAAATTATTCATACCTGATCAGTGATCCTAAAAATGTTGCCCTGACAATTACGAACACAATGAATCAGAAATCGGCCGAGGCGATCTCAAGTGATGCTCCGTCTTACAAGGGCATTTGTTTGATTTTTATATTGGTACTAGCATTGCTCGCGGCTCCGCCTGTGTTCCATCTGACCAAAGACTAAATTCTTAGGTTTTACATATTATCAATATACACTTACATTGCAGTTTTTGTATTTTTTCTCAAAAATGAGATATTTTTCGCGGTAAAAAGTATCCTATATATTGACCCGGATAACCAGCTATCACCATATCAAATTTTGTCACAATCCCTCCAGTGGTTTTTCTGTGATGCGGTAACAGACAGATAGACAAACATTCTAAAAACTATAGATTCTGCCTCTGTATCGATATTAATGTTTATTTCAATAAGATTTTCCAAAAAAATCTAAGGTACACATTCGGCTTAGTTACAATTTTATTACGTATAGATGTATAAATTTATATAAATAGTGTAGGACATGGAGAAAAATGTGAACATATACTAAATCTATACTATAATAAAAGAGTAGAGGTCGAATGTCTGTACATTTCAAAGAAATGCTAAAAACCGAGTCAGGGCGATGTAAGAAGACAAATAGAACAAATCCAGTTTTTTTCAAATTGTTTGTTTCTCTGTCTGTTTGTCTGTTTGTACGGGCTAATCTCCGAATCTATTGGACCGATTTGAATTAAATTTTGCATGGTAGTACCTTATATCCCTGGGCAACATCTTAGATACTTTTTATCCCGGAAAATTATATAGTTCCCGTGGGATAGTTAAAAAAACTATAATAACTTATACAGCTTAGTACACAAAAACTACTGATTTGATTTTAATAAAACTTTACAATAATATAGTTCATACGTGATAATAACAAATCGGCTACTTTTCATCCCGGAAAATTAAAGGGACGGATATATATAGTCTGTGCGCGCGTGCACAAACATGGTGGACTAAGTAAACTTCGTCAATTTTAATTAAATAATATAGTCAAAACTAATTGAAAAGTGCTTATATCGCAGTGATATTGTTTTATTATGTGTAGTTTTGATAAAACGAAACTTTTCAAAGTGTAATTAGGCAAACTTAATGGATTTTAAATAACATTTGTGACTGTAAACAGAGTGTACGTTGTAAACGCGTAGGTATGCGCCACGTAATGCACGGCGCTTAATACATTTTTCTCAGATCCTATTATTTACCTAACAACGAACAAACAATATATTTCCGTTCTGCTATAATCTCCAGTGTCATTATCATGAATAACTATTGTAATACATGCAATAAACATATTAAATCAGCGGAAAAAATTAAATGTGCTTATAGTAATTGTTCAAAGCAGTATCACTACATATGCGCAGGTGTGACAGCCGATCTTAAGAAACATAATACATGGAAATGTTCGAGTTGCAAGGAAAAGTTAATAAAATTAAAAGATACCACAGAGGCTTCTATGAGCGGGTCGATTGGAAACGACATAAGTAATTCTATAACACTGAGACGCCATCAAACATCAGGCATGTCGCAGCGGTCTAGGGAGCCTGGTGAGTCTTTTGATCTACAAACTGAGATTTTAGAAGCTATTCGGAATGATTTACCTGGTATTATTAAGGGTTTTATATCGTGTGAGTTTACAAACTTAAAAGAGAGCCTAAACGAGATCGAAAAATCAATAAAATTTATCTCGGCTCAATACGATGATGCCTTGAAGACCATATCATCGATTAAAGAAGAAGTAAGCGGCTTAAAGAAAGAGAATGCCTCACTGCGCAATAATTTGAAGGAGTTACAAGGTACTGTAAACTCACTAGAACACGACTTAAATAAGCATGAACAATGGGCACGATTACAGAACCTTGAAATTCTAGGAATTCCTGAAAGTAAGAATGAGTGCTTACCAGAACTAGTACAAGAAATAGCTCTAAAGTCAGGCGTAAATATTAGTGACGGCGAGTTTGAATTCGTTCATCGTGTACAGCCAAGGAAATCATCAAGCGGGAAACCTCGCCCCATAGTAGTTCGTTTTAAGTCTCGACAAAAGAAAGACTCATTCTTATCGTCTGTGCGTAAGTGTAAGAACTCCACCAGTGACCTTGGAATACCCGGTCAGTCTAAATTTTTTTATGTTAATGAGCATTTAACACAACGCAATAAAAAACTACTTTTTTATGCAAAGCAAGGGCCAAGGAATTCAATTATCTTTATGTATGGACAAAAAACTGTCGTATCTACGTGAGAAAGAACGAAACATCTCCTCATATACTTATTACAAGCACAAGCGACCTCCTAAAGATAGTATAAGTAAAAAATGTTACATTAATTACCTTTGTTTGTTTACAGTATTGATATTATATAAGTTACTTAATCAAAAACTAAATATTGTGTATGGCAAGCGGCTATCCATTATTGTAAGTTATAATTTTTATTCATATACACTATACTTATTATTTTACACAAAACACTCAACATATATTACACATAACACATTTAAACATAAAAATAGTTTACGGTTAATGAACAGCATTTTTATTTGTTATCATTGTCTGGTTTTTATTTATTTACAATGTTTTATTTATTTACTAAACGTAAATACAGTTTTTTCCAACCATGGAAAGTGTGGATCATAAAACGTTAACAGTATTATATCAAAACGCCAGGGGGCTACGTACAAAAACGCGCGAGTTTTACAATAATGTCATATGTTGTACTAGTGATATTATTACTATTACAGAATCTTGGCTTTGTGATGGTATTCTGGACTCGGAGCTTTGTCACTCAAGGTATGATGTGTTTCGCCATGATCGTGGCGATGACAGAAGAGGCGGAGGAATATTAATATTGTGTTCTAACGTGTTGAATGCGCGACATCGCCCTGAGTGGACTCAAGATGACCTTGAATGTCTATGGTTAACTATTGACCGCAAAACCTTAAAATGTATGTATAACATCCACTTGGCAACTATTTATATACCCCCCGATGGAATGTTACCTTCGCGTATTAATATATTTACAGATATGTTAAAGAATGTCGTTTTTAGTAATCCGGGCGACGTGTTTATAATTCTTGGAGATTTTAATCTTCCATGCATACGCTGGACTTCTGAAGGGCCAGTTATATTAAAAAAGGGTACAATTGAAGTTCAGGACTGTGCCGTTAATTTATTAAATATAGCTAATTTTTTAGGTTTGAAACAATATAACTCAGAGCTGAACTCTAGCGGTAACACACTTGATCTTATTTTTTGTAATTTTGAGGTCGAGGTCACTAGGTCTTTAAATATTATGGTCGCGGAGGATGAATATCATCCCACTTTATCTATTGACATTACAGATGTAATAGTTCCCTTACTTAATCCTAAAGTAAAGTATAAATATTTATACAACATGGCGGATTATGAAATTATACGTGAAAATTTAAGATCTTTTGATTGGTCATTCATATTAAGTATAGCATCATTAGATGAAGCTTTGGCTAAATTTTATGAAATTCTTTATGATTTAATCGATAAATATGTACCTAAAGTAGTTATACATGATAAAAATATATATCCTATATGGTACAACAGGTCTTTAATTCATATTATTAATGATAAACGTAAAGCACACGCTGACTGGAAAAAATATGGTAACATTATTGATTATGAAATATTTTCACTTTTAAGGAGACGTTTTAAAATCTTAGAAAATGAACTATTTCAAAAGTACATACAAAATACCGAAAATCTTATCAAAATTAATCCTAAACATTTAAATAATTATATTAAAGATAAACGTAAAATTAAATGCAATTACCCTAGCGCTTTGGTTTATCAAAATAATATTCATTGTAGTGAAGATGATATATGCAGAGCTTTTGCAAGTTACTTTGAATGTATGTTTCAGCTACCACTAAGTCAATATCCGTTGTGGAGCTTGGACTCTTCAGAATCATCAGAAATTACGTCGAGCTTAAGTGTTGATACTGAGATGGTGCGTACCTTACCAGCTTAGACGTCAGTAAAGGTCCCGGTAGTGATAACATACCAGCTTTATTTGTCGTAAAGTGTGCTGATGCTCTCGCAGAGCCGTTATGTCTTATCTATAATAGATCTTTTATGCAAGGTTATGTCCCAGCAATATGGAAAGAAGCACATATTATACCCATACACAAAAAAGGGCTGAAGACGAAAATCGAAAACTACAGACCTATTTCTATACTTAATACTTTTAGTAAATTACAAGAACGTATTGTATATAATTATATGTATCCACATATTTCAAAATTTATACCTCAAGAACAACATGGGTTCATGAAACGTCGTTCCACTCTTACTAATCTATCCGTTTTTACTGGTGATATTTTACGAAGCATGGGCGATCGCATCCAAGTGGATGTTATATACACGGATTTTGAGAAAGCTTTTGATCGTGTAGATCATATAATACTACTTCAAAAACTCTTAGCCCTTGGTATCAGCGGTGATCTTCATCGTTGGTTTGAATCATACATATCGAATAGATCTCAAGCTGTTGTAGTCGGTAGTGGTAAATCTAATCTTATTAGGGTCCCATCTGGCGTTCCTCAGGGGTCATTACTAGGTCCGCTCTTGTATGCTCTTTATATATATGACATAGGTAAATGTATTAAACACTCTAAATTTCTTTTATATGCTGATGATGCGAAAATTTACAAAACTATAAACTCACCTGATGATTGCATTTTGCTTCAAAACGATTTAAATAGACTCTCACATTATCTTAAAGCAAATCGTATAACAGTAAACGTTGATAAATGTACTCACATCTCTTTTACGCGAAATAAAAATGTAATCAAAACAACATACAATATTAGTAACACATCAATAAAATCAGCAACTTCCATTAAAGACCTTGGCGTGACATTGGATAGTAAATTAACATTTTCTGAACACATAGACTTAATCAGAGACAAAGCATATCAAAATCTTGGGTTTGTTTTACGTGTCTCGAAACCTTTTTCAGACATTAATACTTTCAAAACGCTTTATTTTTACTATGTTCGGAGCGTATTAGAGTATTGCAGTCCCATCTGGAATCCTCAATACGTAACATACATTGAGACAATTGAAAAGATTCAGAGGAAATTTATACGCTATCTTAACTATCGTACTAAAGAACCTAAAACAGACTATATTGCATCTTGCTTACATTATAAAATGACCACTTTAGAAAGACGTAGAACTATGACCGACATGATGCTGTTGTATGACATTTGTAATGGAAACATAGATAATCCTTATCTTATTACAGAAACCTTGCAATTGTGTACCCCACAAAGGCGCACAAGGCACACTAATTTATTTCATGTACCTTGTCATCGTTCTAACTACAGTAGAAACTCAGTAACTCATAGACTGCCTCAACAGTATAATAAATATTTCTGTAATGTTGATCCATTTAGTAATTCTAGAGGAAGATTTAAGAAAGCTATCATTAAAGAACTTAATAAATAACACACGCACATATGTGCGCACACACAACACACACGAACACACACGAACATACACAAACACACACGAACACACACACATGCACACGCACCCGCAGCCGCACCACTAGTCATAAATAATGAATGGCCGTATCATCATTGTTAGTGTTCTTTCTATTATTATTTTTTTTCTCATTTTTTGTTTTGCTCCTTATATAAATGCATGGTTTTTTTTTTGCCTTTTCTTAAATAAATGTAAACTTAGTCTACCTTTCTATATTGCCTAAATAATGTAAATCCGTAATTGGCTTATGTAAGGTTTTAGTTTTGTACTTACAATTTTTTTTGTATGTAGCTGTGGATTTTGTTTGAATAAATAAATAAATAAATAAATAAAATTAAAGAGATGCCCGTGGGACAATCAAAAATCTATAGTAACTAATACAGCTTAGTACACAAAAAGTACTGATTGGATTTTGATGAAACTTTACAAGAATATAATAGGTCATACATCAGAATAACAAATGGCTACCTTTTATCCCGGAAAAATGTACGGTTCCCGTGGGATAGATGTTTTCGTTTATTTGTAACGTATTATGTACACAAAATAGATCCCAAAACACTAGTTATTAAAAAAATTGTCTGTTTGTCTGTATGTCTGTTTGTCTGTTTTTGTATGCGCGTTTCACGCGAAAAGTAATGAACCGATTTCAACGAAATTTGGTGAAGTGATAACTTATTAGTCGAGTCAAAGTTTAGGATACCTTTTACTTCAAGAAAATCTTTCTTTGTCACGGAAGATACAATAACTGGTTTTATCGAGTCCTCCCTAGAAACCTTCCGCTGGTTAAACCTTATATATATATATATATACATACATCAAAACAATATACTGAAAAATTGTAGGTCTTGAAAAGTCCTACAGGAAAGTCCTGAATAGTATATGTATATCTCCTAAGCAATATCTATTCTTATCTATACCTATAATAAAACTAACTTAGTCAAATCGATGTGCGCGTTTCATGCAAAAAGTACTGAACCGATTTTAACTAAATTTTGTATAGTGATAACTTAGTACTCGGGTCAACATTTAGGATACCTTTTACGACAGGCAAATTATTCATTCCCACGGGAAAATACAATAACTGGTTCTATCGAATTGTCCTCAGAAATTTATATGGCTAACGCTGACTCAACCTTAAGAGATAGATCAAAACGTTGTACAAGAAAATTGTAAGTCTTAAAAAGGTCGATAGAAAAGTTCTCAATAGTATTTGTCTATCTCCTAAGGTACACTAGCAATTTATTCTATCTATAAATATAATAAAACTGTAGAGGTTGAATGTCTGTACATAGAAAAAAAAATGCTAAAAACCGAGTCAGTTATCTTCTTACATCCCGTAAGAAGAAAAGTAGAACAAATCCAGATTTATTTCAATTTTTTTGTTTCTCTGTCTGTTTATCTGTTTGTACGGGCTAATCTCCGAAACTATTGAACCTTATATCCCCGGTCAACATCTTAGATACCTTTGATCCCAGAAAATTAAAGAGTTCCCGTGGGGTAGTTAATAAGCTATAGTAACTTATACAGCTTAGTACACAACAACTTATGCACCTAATTTAGTAAAATTTAACATTCTGATATAAGGTATATTGCCGGTCAAACAACAGGTTACTTTTCATCCCGGAAAAATGAACGGTTCCCGTGGGAACTAATGGATCTCTATTAGTGTTTTTCTAGTACTAAGTAGTGTTTTACTTGCATCAAAGAACATTTTATTGTGTCGAAGAACATTAAATTCAAGTAAATCTGGACAAACAAACAGTACTTTCTATATATGTCATCCCTCTACTTTATCCCTAGGGTACGAAAAGTAACATATCCTTTTGAAATTACTATGTCTACAACTTTGGTTGTGCCTTATTTATGAGTAGGTACCACGACACCGTGGTAGTACAGTTTAATAGTTGCAAATATTACCTAAAATAACAAATTCAAGGGAAGTTATGAGAAGAGGTGATAGTTAAATCAATAGGGCCATTAAAATGATAATAGTCATGCGTGTTAATGCAAAACTTTGGACGGAAACCATGTCCGTGTGGTTTCCTTTGTCCGGCGACACGATGACCGCGGCGGAAGAGTCCCGCAAAGAACGTATCCATACGAGTGGAAGTTGTACACTTCAGTTACCATAAAAATTGGTTTTATGACCATTTTAGAATTACATTTTGTTTAGTTTTAATTACTTTTTTAACATAAAAGATACAGCGACATCAAAGTCACTTCAAAAAATTATAATAGGGAATATGCATGTGATATAAATAAAGGTGAAATATTTTTTTATAATCTCTATTGCTTTTGAATTAAGCCTATATCAATACTTTTTAAAGTAATTACTTTTTGATGAAGGAAAAAATATATTAAAAAGTGCAAATATATGCAGACCGATTATAACGTCAAAGTATTATCATAACAGAGCGATTAGCGATGTTGTCGCTAATCACTATTACGATATATAATTCTTTGACTTGACAAACTAAGGTCGTCATTTTTCTACATATGATACTTTGATGTCACGTCACCAAGCGCGCGAAATGGCGAGCGTTTAAAGTATCCGTATCGGCATATTTTGAATTATTTTTAAAACTAAATTTTAGTTTTTTGGTGCTGGCTTTTTCTACAATTATGATGTTAGCTATTGTATAAAAAAAAATAAGATAATCTAGCATATTTACTATACCACCTTTAGAAATTGATTCTTTTCTTGAAATTTATATTGAAATACTCATGAGGTAGTCTTTTCTTTAAACTAGGCGAAGATATCGCGTTAAAAAATAATTAAGTACGTCTTTTATTAAGTAGGCCAAAAATAAAATTGTAGTAGTAGCTTAAAACTACATAACACACAAGTTCACACAAGTGATCATTGAATTGATACAATGTGTAAAAAGAAGTAAATAAATAAATAAATAAACATATTTGGAGACGTATACGTAGTACATTGCATACTAAGGAGTGCCATTAAAAGAGAATAGAAATATTTTTATTTAATTTGCTATTTTATATTCATCCACTTTTATTGCATTAAAATATAATTATAAAAGGATTTATATATCCTAAAAAATATAAAACACGTCTACAACAAAGTTGTGAAGGAAATAAATAATAAGCGTTCGACGAAGTACATTATGGGAGCAGGGGTGCAATTTGTCGAGGTAATGGAAAAATTCCATGGAAATCGGTCGCCTCGCGCCGCCTAGGCTCTCTGGGACTACTATCTGTTATAAAATATGAAATAAGCTATAATGGATGAAATTTACTTAAGATTTATATTTTTTCATATTCTAATTTTTATTGAAATAATAGTTGTGTACTCGTTAATTTCTAATTTAAAACCGATCAGATTCCTAGAGTATAAGTATGATGATGTATATAATTGTGCGTGTAACTGAAATATAATGACTACTAAATACATCAGAGAGATTACAGGTTCACTTTCGGAGACATGTAAATTCCGCCAACAAATTATTGCTTTATCCC